TACGTCAGGCAACTTGTTCGTCAAATCATCCTGGACGTTTTCACCGCTTGTCGATTGTGGTGCTGCCGTTGGACACCACGTCGTGGCGCTCCACGTAGCGCTAGCTGTTCCGTGCCAAACGACCTTCCACACAGATGCAGCAGCAGTCTGCTGCGACCATGTGCCGTCGTCGACCCCACACCACCCGACAAACCGAGCGCAAACTCGACAAACATGAGTTACAACAAGGTTTACCCCGATGGCGTTCACGAACACGTCGCTGCGACGGGAAAGACCTCCATGTCGTCAACGATGCTCACGCGAGCATACGCGACAGCACCGCCCTTGTTGGGCGGCGCAAAGAACTGTGGCGGTCGGATGGGGGCCATGGTTGGGCTAGTGCTTTCGTTGCTCGAGGTGTCGGTCGTGTCGTCGATGGCGAGGTGGAGGTCGTCCCGCGGCACGACTTGCCTTTCAAGGAACGGCACGTCTTGCCTCCGCACGATCCCAACCACGACCTTGTCGGCCTTTGTCGTCGACAACGTCACGACGACAACTATCGTGGCGGTGGGGTGGCGAAGGAACGTCGCGAGTAGCGACGACAGCGACGTCGCGGGCTCGACCTCGACGTACGGCAGTGTGCCGCCGCACACGCCATTCGTGACGGGGTACAGTCCCGTGCCGTGGGCGTACACGAGCGTCGTGGGGGCGACCGAATCGTCGGGAGACTGGATGTGGAGGAGGTGGCTGCCGAGCGGTACGTCGTCGGGAGGCGCAACGTCCGTGATGGCGACCACCGACGTCATGTAGTCTCGCACGGATCGTTTGCCAAGGTCGAGGACACACTGCAGGAGGTCGACATCGTCCGCCGTCAAGCCAGCACGAGGGTTGTGCAGGTGCTGCAGTTGCACGAGGGCCTTGAGCTCGTCGCGAGAGTACGCCAGGTTCGACGCGGTTTCGCCCACGGTGTGGTTCAGGAACACCGAGATCGGGTACGAGATCGGGTACGTCAGCCTACAAACGTGGGAGGGGACCGCGCGCCCAAGCAAGATGCGTACCGAATGAGCACCCGGAGGAGCGGGACACATGCGGCGCCGATCACGAGCTGCCGGTCGCCCGTGCAAAGGGCCGTCGGAACAATTTCGCCAAACAGCACGACAAACGTGACGGAAAACACCACCGACGCGACGGGGTTGATGAGCGTGTTGAGGAAGATCGGCAGCGCTTCGTTCGCGAGCGCGTTCATGAAGACGAGTGTTACCAGTAGCAGCCGGTGGTGCGTCAAGACCGGCAGCAAGCGCGCCGCCGCATGTCGCGCCGCCGTCGACCTGGCATGCACCCGTGACGCACGACGACCGACGCATCACACGCACGTACCCTTCCATCTTCAACACGGAGAGATGCATCGTGTCCAAAGAAAGCACTCCGACAGTCAGCCCCGACATGGCGCCGGCCAAGACCACGAGCAACATCACGCTGCCGACCGCCCCGATAAACTTGGTCGGGTCGCATGCGTACGTCACGTACGATTCGTCTTGGCAAGCGTGCGACGACTCGCGCAGTCGAGACGATGTGAAGGGGACGACGGGTGAGTCGGCCTTTGTGTACACTTGGCCGCGATACATGAGCTCGCCGGACGAACGGTGCTCGACGAGGTGGGTCACCTGCGACGGGGCCTCGGCGGCTACAGCCGCGACAATGCTACAGAGGAGTAGTGCTACCACGGCGTTGCAGGTCGCGACGCAGGACCGGCAGCGGGGCATTGTACGCGGCGGCCGTGACGACGACGGAGTTATGGACGAACTCGAATTTGGCCTTGGTGTGAATCGTCGATTTCGAACTTTCGTGCGGGAAACGGAACCGTGGCATGTTTGGAACGATAGGTCGTCGACCACATCCTCCCCACCATCAAGCCACGGCACGAATCGGTCACCTTTCCACGCACGGATCATTTCCTGCGTCGCGCTTCGGTTGTGTCGCGGAGGAAGGTTGGCATGCCAAGTGTGTCCACGAGAGTCTCGCGCCGGGACGCCGTGACCATCGCCAAACAGCACCTGTCGACATCCCCAGCAGGGCATCGCCTGCCCTTCATCCATTTCATTCGCGCTGGACGGATTATCCACACAGTTGGGTACATCGTCGACATGAAGGTCTCGGATGGACAACAGTCGCTCGCACATTGGAACGGCATGTAGGAGACGAAGCACGACCGAGTCGTCCATGTCGAGGCGCGCTCTGCACTCAACATGTGCCAACGTAGAAGGTTGTGTACCCCCTACGTGCGGACGCGCGCGGCCGCATCTTCAAGCGGTCCATCCTCTCGAAACGTGCGACGGGCAGAGTCCTCAAGATCTCGCAAGGATGATACACGCCATGACGACACAAGACCATCCACTCCTGCAATTGTATAGCGAACTCGATCAGCATGGGGCATGCCGTGGGCAAAGCTCATCCAAAGACAGTGCTCCATTGGCACCAAAACGTCCCAAAGGTCGTCGTGGCGTTGTAGCGTCGAATGCCATCCACGAGAGCTGCTACGTCACACCAGAGCCTGGACAACGCATCGCCTCGACAAAACGATCCGAGAAAGAACGGCGGGGTCGGTTCAAGAGGCTCTGTGTGCCGGGTCCTAATGACGACGCCACAGCTCCGTGCCGTCTACAACACAAAGCATCCGACGCATCGTCCACCTTGCACCGTCGCAGAAAGCTCACCTCGATCGTGACGGCAGGTGAATCGAATGGACGCCCGAGGTCCTGTCGGAGTGGCACCCACCCGAGTACGCCGCAATCGATCTGGCGTCGCACGCCGTGTTTCGACAACTGCACACAAGGCCCACGTCCTTGAACGCATGCACTAGGCCTCGCCTTGGTTAATACAGGAGATCCCCGAGAAGAAGATGGCGCTCGCCGCCTCCCTCGACGCTCTCTGCGTCGGACACTTTGATCATGACAGGTGCCAGATCTTCATGTCGAAGGTGTATGGCAGGGTGAGCATAGTTAGGATGCGCTTTACGACGGCCGACGCGTGGGAGAACCCTTGCTTACACGCGTCGCATGTGTTGGAATCGAAATGAAGTCTACGGCCCCTCTATTTCATCGTACATTGGCGCCAAACAAGGACATCGCCCGACACAGCGTCACGATGGCGGACGCGCGCTCGATCATGCTGGAGTCGGCAACGGACCCAACGCAGACGTCAACTTGCACCTGTACATAGTGTCTGCCTTGGCTTTTCGCTGGAATCCCTTCTCGGTCAGCCATGCCATGTCAAAGTCAACCACATGAATGGACCCAACACATCGGCACGTGCCACCACCCTGACGAGAACCAAGATGGCAAGCACTCTGAATTCATCCAGCAACATGTCACTGTGGACCGCGACCCCGCCCGAGGTGGCTGAGACGATGGCAAACATTGCCAAGACAGCACGGCACAAGCACGCGCGTTTGATGTGCTCGTTAGCTTGTTAGCTTGGAGTCGCGAGTATTTTCAGTCCCACCCCGACTGAATCGCGACAGCGCAAGGAAGTCATGTGCGGTGGAATCACATTGCATTTACAAATGCGTCACTCTACTTCAAGTGTTGTTGCAGAAAAGGAAGGGCTTCGTCAAACCAAGCAGCGTGGAACGCTTCCGCCGTGGTGGCGTCGTTCAAGTCGCCGCGGTTCACCCAGCCATGGGCCACTGAGGGAAACTCGCGGAGTTTGTGGGCAATGCCTCGAGCCTCCAGCGTCTTCTCGACTTCACCGCCAGGCTTGAGCCACGCAGGGTCGTTGCCAGCAGCGAGAATCAACTGCGGCACCGTGATCGACTCGGCGATCTTGGCGCCGCTGCCTTCGCCATGGAACAGTTGCTCGGCGGCCCAAGACGGGTGGAACGAAATGCCAGCAGACAATACGGTCGATTTGAATGCACTGTACTTGGCGACAACCCATGCGCCCCAGCAATAGCCCAACGCACCAAACTTGGTCACGCCGTGGTTGGTTTGGAAGTGGGCGACGACGTCTTCGATCTTGCCGACGAGGCCTTCAAACGGACGGTCCTTGATCCATGCGCCCACATTCGACAGGTCAGCCACGTAGTCTGTCGTCAAGTCCACAAGCGCAACCTTGTAATGAGCGCTGAGGTTGACACAGTTCTCCTTGGTCCGGCCAGAGTCGGGGCCAAACACGTCTGGGAAGACGAGAACGAGGGTGGACGTCGCGGCGTTGTCGTAGAAGAAGACGTCCGTGTTGCCAACCTTGATCGGGGTCGCATTGCTCGTGGTCGGGTTCGCAGGAAGCGAGTTGGGAGGGCAGCAGCTCATGGCACAAGCGGGTGTCGATGTCGACGAACAATTGAAAGTGACCAAATTCTAGGATTGTCCTACTAAAGTTCGATCGCACTTTATCGAGTACAGCGTAATCAAGTGTTCACGGCAACATGGCGCTGGCGCAATCGCAAGCCGCACACGGCGCTGCGTCCGCCCCTGCGAGAGTCGCGCATGGCCTCCTCGCATCCTACCTCATTACTTACTCGTGGGGATACCACCTTGGGCGCAATGGGACAGGTATGACGGCATCATCTTGATTGAGAATCCGACTGGGACCAGTCCTCGACTCCCGTTCCGTTGGGAGAGGATGACATCGATGCTGGGTGCTACAACGAACGATAATTATGGTTGGATCTGTGTCTGTCCAAGGTCCCGCGGGCAATCCCGATGGCCACCATCGGAATGGAGGCAACTACACAGGTACAACCTCCTCGAGGAAAGATCAACCCAGCGACGACATGGCACTGGCACACTGCGGCGTCGGGCTGCCACCACCACAGACTGCCGCAGAGATGCCTACGTTGAGCTTTCACCACCGCTGGACTCAAGCACACAATCGGGGCACACTAAACATGGGAGGTGCTGCTGTAGCCATGACCATGGTCCAGTGCAGTCAAGTCCCAGCCTGCGCAGAACGCTGCTTCCGCCGTGAAAGTCCGTGAAACTCGGCCATGCCATGATGGTGGAGCCGGTGGTCAAGTGTCGCACTGCGTGAGTGCGCGACGAGCCATTGGCACTTGACATGGAATGCAGCATTTCTTAAAGTTCCTGCAGAGATCAGACACCAAGTCGTCGAGACACTAGCAGCATGCAAGGAGGATCCGAGTGGTCGTATGGGACACAATCGCAAGCCGCACACGGCGCTGCGTCCGCCCCTGCGAGAGTCGCGCATGGCCTCCTCGCATCCAACATGTCACTGTGGACCGCGACCCCGCCCGAGGTGGCTGAGACGATGGCAAACATTGCCACAGCACGGCACAAGCACGCGCGTTTAATGTGCTCGTTAGCTTGCATGGCCCCAAGAGCTCCAGGGCCGCGTCGTTAGCTTGGAGTCGCGAGTATTTTCAGTCCCACCCCGACTGAATCGCGACAGCGCAAGGA